GCCATCTCGAGGTATAGTACTCAAGTCGGAGCGAATCAATTGATAGCACGATGAAAAAAAATAATAGCCATCATAAAACAGTAAATATGTATATAACTAGTACAATGTAGAATAGAGGTATTATAAATTAATACAAAATACAATAATTAGTCATTCTTTCCATTCCCAATTAATCGTTCTTCCCATAAAAAAAGAAAAATTAAAATTAAGAGTGCCCTTAACCAAAAATAGTGAAATAAATGGAGATAGTCAAATTTTATATTAGCGTGTAAGACTTTGAATAAAAAGGTGTAAAAGGATTATAAATGCTGTATTTATATCCTTTAATATCATGATAATATAAAATTTCAGTAGGTATCTCCATTTATTTCACTGTTTTTGGTTAAGGGCGCTCTTAGTTTTAATTGCCTTAAAAATAATAAGTATAATAATAATTTAAATCACCCGCTCTTTCATAGTTCGTTCCTGTAGCCAACTAGAGGGCGCCAAAAGCGCAATCTCCCAACATTTTACCACGCGATTCACCACTCTCTAAACTATTAACTTTCTCTATGATTCCCACTATGTTTTACATGTATTATAAACTCCAAGTCCCGCGGCTCGTGACGCCAACAAGGTGAGGTATACTACGTATAGAAAATATAATGGGTTAAGGTGCGATAGATATAGTTTATATTGGCCATTCTCCGCGTCATTCATAAAAGGATTTGTAAGGTAGGCAACTTTATATACACTTGTATTTGGTAGTTTACTGACAGACAATATAAAAAGTGGCGGTTTTTGTCTCTGTCCAGAAACCAGCCTGTTATTATTGTAATTTGTAATATTGTTTATTAGTTGATTAAGAAATATCGACTGCATTATTTCTATATACAGGGCTTCTCACAGTAGCCGTTCGTTAGAAGTTTTTGAGGTTAGAAGAAACTTTTTACATTTTTACCCCTATTTTTAACAGTGGGTCTTTTACTCATTTTGAATTGGTGATAACCGATTCTGCGGTAAACGGGAGCAGAGGACTAATACTTTCGAAGTCCATATTGACAACTAATTTATCTCATACTGGGTGTCCAAAATTCGATAACTGATTATATTATTTTCAAACTCAATAAAGTCCATTTTTTCAAAAGAGACACCCTATATATTTTTCTATAGTTGGATGCAAAATTCAATTCTGCATCGATTTGCTATAACTTTCCCTATACCCATTTTCAACAATTTTTCTTTTTAATCCGTATATTTTACTTATAATTCAATTTTTGGCAGAATCGACAATATCGTTTGTGTTTATTAAAATAAAATAATTATGTTAAAGTAATGAAATTGAATGTAATTAAAACATACGAACAAAACAGGAACGAAACAAAAGTGAAAACGTATCATAACAAAACAAACGTATAACGGTCAGGCATTAATTATTAACACTAGACGTTAGTGTATCGCTTAATATAATGTGTAAACACAATAATTACAAAAATTATTCTTCGAAGTGACCGCTATAAACGAAAATTTTTGTAATTATTGAGTTAACTTTTTTTATTATTGAGGGATACATTAACGTCTAGTATTAATAATTAATGCCTCACCGTTACTGTTGAAAATACGTTTGTTTTGTTATGTTATATTATATTTTATACGTTTTCACTTTTGTTTTGTTCCTGTTTTGTTCGTATGTTCTAATTACATACAATTTCTTTACTTCAACATAATTATTTTCTTTTAAAAAACACAAACGATATTGTCGATGCTGCCAAAAATTGAATTAGAGTAAAAAATACAGATTAACAAGAAAACCGCTGAAAATGGGTATAGGGAAAGTTATAGCAAATGGATGCAGAACTGAATTCTGCATCCAACTATCGAAAAATATACAGGGTGTCTCATTTGAAAAAATGAACTATTTTAAGTTTGAAAATAAGCTAATCAGTTATCCAATTTTGGACACCCTGTATGCAATAAATTAATTGTCAATATGGATTTCGAAAGTATTAGTCCTCTGCTTCGGTTTACCGCAGAAGCGTTTATCACCGATTCAAAATGAGTAAAAGACCGACTGTTAAAAATAGGGGTAAATCTGTAAACATTTTCAAATAAATCAAGATATCTGATAACCAGTTGAAAATAGGTATAGGGAAACCTAATGAAACTCATCATAAAATTTTCTTAGAAATCCAAAAATAAAATAATATACAGGGTGTTTCATTTAAAACAAGGGAGTTAATGGCGACTTCCGGTGTAACCGGAAGTGGTGTGACCTTGAAAATATTATTAAATGAAAGGAAAGGTTAGATAACCCTAAGTCTCAAAATTACAAACTTCTAAGTTTTTCCTAAGCTCAAAAACTTCTAACGAACGGCTACGGTGAGAAACCCTGTAAATATATTACAGGATTTTAGTCATATCGCTGGAAAAATTTCTCCGTTTGGGCAGTTTGGGTGTTAACAACTTAGGTTTTTGTATCGTTTATCGCGTATCGCGTATAATGTTTGGTATAGTCAATTGTAAATAAATATCAAAAATAAATAAATTTTTAATGTCGAAAAAAAATTAGTTTTAGTTGCCGTAGCTTTGTCGTAGCCGAAGGTTTGAGATGCAGCGCAAAATTTGTGTAGGTAATAATTCATAATTTTCTGGTTCTGGATAAATGATGAACTCTTGTTGCCTGATTCTGGAATAGATATTTTCAAATGGACAACATATGCTGTTTAGTTTGCAAAATTATGCGGTTAAAAGAAAATAATTGCTTAAATTTCAAAAAACGTTTAGAGAAATAATTGACTGAAAAAATAAAAAAATGTGAAATAAAACTTTTAGAAATGTGTATGTGTATATATGTATTTTTATTTTTGTGACATTATTATTTAAGTGTCTTTTAAATCCTACCTTGGAAAATTTGTGTAAAAAACATTGACTGGATTTTTAGTGAAATGGCACTAGACCACCTATTTAAAAACGTAAGAGTAGATTTCATTTTAACATAATTTGTATTTATTTTTAGATTTATTTTTCTTTAAATAAACGTACAAGTTCCTTGTAAGAAACCAATTGAATTTGGTCGGGTCTTAAAAAAAATCGACGCAATATTTTTAAATATTGACCTCTCTACACTAATAACCACGAGCCGCCATTGGTATGACGTTGGAATTGAATATTCTTAATTCTGTTTGTATGGAGAGTTGACTGGAGGTCCAAACTGATTTTAGTTGGTCAAAGGCTTGCTGCCTGATCTTGCTGATCCTGCTAACATTATCCGCGTCTGCGCCACCGTTTGCTGTTACAATACTTCCTAGGTAAGTAAACTCTTTTACATTATCGGTATTTTTGATTCCTACATTAAATGAACTGTTGTTATTTGTGTTGATTCGCATTATTTTGTTATTTCGATGTTTATGCTTAGTTCTAATTTATCTGCTTCTGTTTTTAGGCGTCTGATCATCACTTTCATGTCTTTGAAGGATTGCGTTGTGAGACAGATATCAGCATAATCAAGATCCGTCAGATGCGATGTCAGAGTCCATTGCACTTCCGTAATATATTCTGTGGCTTTAGTCAATACGCTATCGAGCATGCTATTAAATAGAAGCGGCAATAATGTGCAACCCTGTTTTATTCCTGTTTCTAAGTTAAAACTGTTGCTGGTCCTACCGTTGTGCACATCTTACTAATAGGGGCTTGCAAATGATAATAATATTTCATTAAATTATAGATAATTTGCCACAATTTTTGATTTAAATATTCATAGTTGAATGTGTGGCAAAATGTATTTCTAAAGTATTTAAAATATTAGAGAAACACTATTAAAACACTTTTTTTAACTATACCAGTATTATCAGAAAATTACGTTGTATGTATTTGTTCATAATTAGTGTGTACCTGATGTACACTTTTATAGTAATTTTATATAACGATAAAAACTAACCCCAAAAAAATAATCAATAAATATAACTGTGAAAAATACAGTTTGTATGTGCATCGTTTGTTTAATAATTGTTGTTTAACGTGTACCTACTATTTTAATACCCTTTGTAATAGATATTATAAAAGATGAAAATTTGGTTTGTTAAAATTTAGTCACTTTTATTATACAGATTGATAAGTAGGGGTATGTTTATGGTTTATATTGTATTTGTATTTGTATTTGTATAAAGTAATTATAATTTTCACAACTTCAGAAAAAGTTACGATGGTTAAACGACATTTTGATGGAAACATCATCCACGCTGTGTTAGACAAGTTAGCAGCTTTAGTCGGGACAGCCCTATACCGAATAATTCAAGAGTTTAAAGAATAAACCAGAGGTTGGAAACTAAAAGCTACGGTATTAAGCACATGAAAGTGTAAAGGCAAAAATAATGAACAGGAGGAAAACAACTATAACGACTATTCTTCTTCATGTTGAAGAAAAGAAAAACATTGATTCTCGTCTATTGGGGATACAGTAGGAAAAGTCTACAGGTTCTTTCACCGAACGACTTCTTCTTGTGAAGCACACTCAAAAGCCGTTTTTATGGGGCATTTTAAATACAGAAATTTAGATGAACTGAAAACGATTTCTCTGTGGAATGCTAAAGATTATCTCCTTAACAGCTTTGTATTTTGAGGCGTGAATTTTACAGTCATTTTTGGTATTGTTTGGCTGTGAATGAGGGATTACATGAACGTTTTATTAATTAGTATAGATGTTTAATAAAGTTCCTTTAGTTACAAATATTTCGATTTTTCTTAAATAATTGTGGGTGTATGTAGCAAAGCCCGAGAGTTATAGAGTAATGAACATCATAAAACCGCGAATACTATTCTCAGTTCAACATGTTCTTTTGTAGATAATCATTCCAATTGAGAAAAAAATTAACCAACCTTTTCAAACCAATCAATTTCTTGTAAACAAAATGTGATATCAAATTTGACAATGACAAAATCATATTTTTGCTGGTATTTTATTTGTAGCTTTCTCTGTGCTGTATATTTTTTGTGAAATAGTCAAGCATAGTCATTGTACTTACCTAATACTAGCATTCCTTTTGTCTGTCTGTCTTCACTCTCCATCGTAGAAACTGAACACGTGTAGTCTCCAGATAAATCCGGTCCTGTCCTAACGATGTGTATAGCTCTATGTTTGCTGTTCGCGTCTGGGCTAGCTTGGTATTCTAAATTGACTCGGTCTTTCAAAACTCCTAAACTTTGAGGCCGATTTTTCGTTCCTACAATGGAATATATATAAAAATTAATAACTGTGGCAATAAAGAATTATTCTATTTTTTTTTACTTATTTTAGATAGATGTATGACTGACGATTGTTAGTTTGAATTAATCTAAATTTTAAATATACTGAACTAAGACGGAGTTAGGTACTGTTAAGCATGGGTTCTTCCACTAAGGACGCCAGCATTGATACATGTATAAATGGTTGTCATAATTTAGAAATTTCCATATTAGATATTTAAAGTTATCGTTATTTTTTTTTAAATTTACGATTTTTTTTTGTACTGGTTAGATCACATATGGTCTGTAATACCTGACTTCATTGTTTCACCTCTTTTCGTATCACTTTTATGTTCGTTGAGTCATAAATTTGGAGGTCATTTTGTCTTTCCAACGTAAGACATTACAGCATTCACAAGGTAGATGCACTCTAACTTTTGTTCTGATGTCAACTGCTTGACGTAAAAAGCTTATTTTTGGCAAACGGATTTTTCGAAAGTCAAATTCCAACGAGATGAAACTACCCCTCAAATATTACCAAGTTATATAATAATATCGCCATATTGTTTTTTCTCATGCTGACATAAACGTGAGATAATTTTATCCAGTTTGTATGTTAATGGAAATTCTTGCTTTGCTTTATCATCACCAATACAAATGATTAATTCGACGCGAACGAAGTCGCAGGTACACGCTAGTAAATCATATTTTAAGAGCTATTTTTCAACTTACCGGGTATCCACTGGTAAACCAGAGATTTGTTGAAGTACCATTTGACCACCAGGTCTGTCTCGCTGTCGTCCAACGTGAAATCGCAGTCTAGGATGGCCTGCGATCCGTGCTTGATTATGTCGGGCACCCGCAATTTGTTTATTTTCACCGCATCCCCCAAGTTCGTTACGACTGCAATAAAAAGAAACTGTTAGTGTTATTTCGGCTACTCGGGAGAGAGAAACTTTTATTATCGTACGTCGATGTATTCTAGTAGGTCTATTAGATTTTACGAATAGGGTATAGGTGTTTTTAGTAGCAAGATTCTTTTGGAACAATCGATAAAAAATATATTTTAAGAAGAAAATTTTATGTCAACAACACCACAATTATCTCTGTTAAGAAAATAATTAATTTCGGAAGACTGTAGCGTTTTTTATAAAACATTACCACTGCGAACGGCAGCTTTTCCTCAGAGAGCAGTCATGGATAAGGTATTTCACTAGAGAGAAAACTAATCAATAATAATAAACAAAAAAATATAGATATTGGGCGCCAGGCATGTACAGAGAAAGAAAACACAGTTGTTTATTACTTAAAACTAATGACTATATTTATTCATGATGTTCTTTGCTGGTACATGACATTGTAAAGTTCTAGTAAATATATAGTGGTTATATGTCAAAGAAAGTGGTGTTAAGAGTTGTACTAAATATCTATGAAAACAACTATGATAAAATACAAGACATGTAAAGTTTAAGAGAATATATGAAATATAGCATTACTTTAATTAATTTGATATATTTTATACGATGTTAAATCGAAGATGTTGCAACCCGTATATTCTAGGATCTATGTTTGGTTATTCATCTGTTAAAATAGTGCAATAATAATATCTATAAAACTAATACCATTACAAGACGTAATGCAATGAAACCTAAGATCTAAATTATATTTTAAATAATATTAAATCGACATGAATATTCTTAACAATAAAATGTTAATTTTTATATATTATGTTTAAATTTTTAAAATGAAATTATAAACGAGAAATCCCAAAAAAACGCACAAAAATGGGACACCCTGCACACATGTGATGCGCAGTAGTGAACGCAACCTACTGGCGCGGCAGCCGGACCATTCTAAACCTGTCTAATAATTAATTACCACAATAATCCTTCAAAACAAATGAAAGTATCAAATTCTACTTATATACACTACGGATCATAAACCCATAAGCGCCATCCGTTCTGGTGATAAAAAAGAAAATATTTAATACTTTACTATCAGAATATAAACGAAAAAAAAAATAAAAAAGTTGCACCCCCAGCCGGTATCGAACCACTGACCTTCGCTTCATAGGCGAAGGCTCTACGCGCCGAGCTAATGGAGACTTGCCGCAATTCAAGCCAAGCATAGATATGTTTTCTCCGTCAACCGCAGAGTTCGCGTCAAATTCGTCTACCTTCTTACAAAAAAGAGCTCAAAAAATATTGCACCGAGCGAGGCCCCCAGTTGTCAATCTACACTACCGTATTCTTAGTATACATTTAGATCGAGACTATTTAAATTTACCTAATGCTTTCAATATTTGCTTGATTTCTGTCACATAAATGACATTGATTGACAAACGAAACCAGAAAAACCAGCCTTCTCGCGCTGGTTAGTTTGGTGACAGTTATAACCGAATTTTTCAGAAACCGTGTTCCGTAATAAGAAAACTTTCAGGAAACCGATAGAAACGGAACATAAAACCATAACCAAGGTAAGCACCGGAATACACCCGAATACAAATCTCCGATACGCTACTGAAGCAGGTAAGTCAAATTGACGTTTTTGCAAAAATGCAAGAAAAAATATAGTTAGTTAATTTTAAGTGAATTTAGCACCATTTTCAAAGAAAATCAATGATTATTTACGAATACTAATGCTAAATTTTCTTTCTTTCTTTTTATTATTTTTTAGCGTTGTGTTTGACGGCATCACGAAAGCTGTACTGCTATTTCCGTTATGTAATATCCTAATTATTTTGAAACGCCGCACCGTTGTACAGCCAATTTTCTAGATTAAAGTTCAATCGATTCTTTGAGCGTCCATTTGATGAAACACTTCTTTCAGCATTTCGAATTCGCAAAAACGCAGCGCAATAATCGAAATTGTTTTTTAATTGAAAGAGAATACCAAGCAACTTAAAACTAATTGCGTACTACTTCTACATACCTTTTATATTATACCCATTTTAAATACAAATATATCGTAATAGTTATAGTTTAGGATTGTAATAGAAATTAATGCAGATATTGGTTATTTATGATAACAAAATTAAGAGCAAATTGACTTTACCGAGACTACATCTTCATCATAATCAATCAGCCACTAAAGTCCACTGCTGAACGTAGGCTTCCCTAGTTGGCTTGTATAATTCCTTAAACATCTTAAACTATTTGTATACAGTTACTGTGGATATACCTTAAGTCGTAATGCCATCTGGTTGGTAGACGGCGTCTGCTCCTGAATGCATCATATCTTGGTCTTCATTCTATTATTTTCTTCGTCTATCGGTCATCATTTAGCCTTGCAATGTGCTCTGCCCAATTCCATTTCGAAGTAGTTATTTTCTCTATGGCATCCATGACTTTTGTTTAGTTAGGTTAGGTAGTACGAGACAGTACTTCGATATTCGGTACTTTGTCTCTCAGAGATACCCCAAACATTGATCATTCCATTGCTCCTTGATGATATTTACCCACTTTACTGAAAATGCATTAAAGTGACATTGAATTGTCTATCACATGGAAAACATCATTCTAGTTAGGAAAAATGCAACTAAAGTTATATTCCATAATGCTCTTCAGTGTCCAAGAAAGGTATCTTCCCATTCCATCCACCTTGTATGAAATTACTGGAAAAATGACGAAGATGTCTTTGCGAATCAAAAATCCAGTGGCTTCTCGCCACCAAGATTGCTAACAAGACAAATACGACAAAGGACGTTTTTATCATCTCTTAGTTATACTGCAATAATTAAAAATTCTTTGATGACCAGGTTTTCCAAAAAATGGAAAGTCGTAATCAAGATCTATCTATAATACCACTCTATAAATTATTTCATACAGAGTTGGTAGGAATGGAAGAGAAACTCTCTTAGACACTGAAGGGCATATGGCTAATTTCGGAATATTTTGATTTACTTGATCAAATTGAAAATTTAACGTAACACGTTAGATGGTCAAGTGTGCAGGACTAATTTGATGTTTTATAACTTTAGTTGCCTTTTTTCTAATTAGAATGATATTTTCCATTTGATGGACAATTCAATGTCACTTTCATGCAGTTTCAGCAAAGTAGGTAAATATCACCAAATTCATTAGACAGAGAATCTAATTTTCTTTAATTTACATTATAAAGAAAAACTAGTACTACTACTGCCATTACTCGCTGATGAGTATTTGGCACGCATCAGAAGACCGTTACGCATCGCGTTTCCTTTCATGAGTTTTTCTGTGACTGATACGTGATGTTGTCTCTCTTCTGCACTCCGGACATTCAAAAGTCTCATTGCTTTGTTGCCTCTTTACTTTTTGGTTGTTGCTCTTAACTGAGTTTACAATCCTTCTCCATTGTGCTCTATTATGCGCTGCTTCTTCACACTGATTCTGCATGTTTATCCCCTTTAGGTTTTCGTGGAAAATATCCTTGTACCTTTTGAGTTGTCCACCCGGTTTCCTCTTACCGTCTACAAGCTCACCGTAAAGAAGAGGTTTTGGAAGTGGTTTTCTTGCATCCTGCGCACGTGACCAGCCTATCTTAAGCGGGATTTGGTAATCATGACTTCAACGCTCTTGCGGCTAGCTTTTCCAAGGACCGATACGTTTGAGACATGGTGAAACCATTTGATTTTTAAGAATTATCTAAGGTGTCTATGTTGCAACACGTTTAATACATTCATGTGCCGGCGGTACGGTACTCAGGTTTCATTTCTATATAACAGGGTGGGGTTATTATTGCTCGGTACAGTGCAACTTTAATTTTTGTACTCAAGCAATGATTGTAGTAAACCCTGTCTTTTAATTCCCAGAATGCTCTTGATGGACTGCTAATCCTGTGCTGAATTTCAGAGTCGATATTTGCCGTTTTCGAAATCAAACTGCCGAGGTAATCGAACTCCGGTACATATTCCAATAGTTCTTCTCCGATTTTTATAGCATTGTTGTGAACTCTCGGAGGAGTGCATATGATTTTAGTTTTATCGATATTCAGCTTAAGGCCCAAAGCTTTGTATGCCCAGGTATATATGCACAGCATTTCTTGTAATTGCTGTAACGTTTTTTTGCAACTAGAGCCCAGTCATCAGCGTATTGAAGTTCTGTGATGAATTTTGTACGTGTTTTTGCCCTGAGTCTTTTTTGTTGAACAGACCGCCGTTGTATCTGTATACAGGGTTGTTCACCACATACGACACGGAGTATTGTAGTTAAACGATGAGATTTTTACAAATTGTAAGTTTGGGGTTCGTTGAAGGACTATTAGAGCTACAATTTAAAAATATTTTTACAAGATACAGAGTGTCCCAAATAAATAAAAAATATCAAAGTTGTAGTTTTTTAAATGGAACACCCTGTATATTATTACATTTTTAGTTTCTACGATTAAAATAAAGGTAAATTTGATTAAGGTTTATTATACTTAAACCTTACTGTTTTTTGAAATATTTTCAATTTTGTGAAATTGCAGTAAAAATTTTAAAGCTTCATTTCTCCAAGGGTATCAATGTTTTTAATACTAAATATTTAATAAAGTTTATTTATTGATCAGTTATTGTGTTGCAATAATAAAAATAATACTACCTTATACAGAGTGTCTAAAAATTTATTTTAAATAATTATTAGCTTCAAACGGCAATAACTTCTTTAATTTAAATGGAATGCCCTGTATATTTTAGGAGAATCAGATGCACAATTAAATTGTCTATCAAATTGTATTATACCATTTTTTACCTATCCCTTCAAGTTTTCGTAGAAAATGCATTTTCTTATAATTTAGACCTCATTTATCAATATATCCATGAAATATTGACATTTTAGATTGTTTTTAAAGCAATAAATGTACAAAATGTACAGACTAGTAATATCATCGTTTTTAGCAAAACGATAATATTATTATATTATGTATGCAAAAAGAAAACTATTTAA